CACACACACACACACACACACACACACACACACACACACACACGCCACAGTGCAGGAGGAGGTCCGAGGATGAATGGAGGAGTCTTTTCTCAAGGAGCTCAAGGCATGATGCATGGTGGCGAGCATCTTTATAAACTTTCTGAGCTCCCTCACCAGCCTGACTCCAGAGCTGAGCAGACAGTCACCCCATGTGTGTGGGGTACTCAATTTGTATGTCCTCATTCTGACCTGTCTGTCCCACTGCAGGCTGTGGGTAGGAGGCCAGGCCCAGGAGAAACTAGAGAAATGATGTTTAAAGCCTGAGGTTGGCCCAGTGAGGTGCTGCACACATTGAATCCCAGCACTTGGAAGGCATAGACAGGTGGATCTCTATGAGCTAGAGACCAGCCTAATCTACATGGTGAATTTCTGGACAGCCAGAGACACATATTGAGACCCCCATCTCAAAAAACCAAAAAAAAAATTTTTTTTAATAAATAAATAAAGCATGAATTTGAGATTTTGCAAGATGAGACTTCTGACTGTTGGTCTGGGTGGTAATGCCTATATCCCAGAGCTTTAGAGGCTGAGACAGGAGTATGGGGGTTCTCTGTTTCAAAACAAAAACAGCTGGATATGGTAGCAGATACCTTTATGCCAGCACTCTGAAGGCTTCTGCTGAACTCCGTGAGTTCAAGGTCAGCCTGTATACATCTTGAGTCTCAGGCCAACCAGTGAGGCCCTACACAGTGAGGCCCTGTCTCTGAACAAGAGCAACATTCAGAGAGACTCCACAGTAGTTAAGAGTGTTCACTGTTTTGGCAAAAAACCGGAGCTTGATTCTCAGCACCCATGTCAGACAACATACAACCACCTCGAACTCCAGCTCCAGGGGATCTGCTGCCCTCTTCTGGCCTTCTTAGGCACCTACATATATGTGCACATACACATGAATAAAAATAAAATAAATTTTAAAAAGGAAACTGCTCCTAAGAAGATCCAGTTTGGTTCCAGCACCCATTCCAGGCGGCTCACAAGTACTTGAATTTTGGTTACAGGAGATCCAAGGGCATCAACACTCGTTTGCATAAATCTGCATGCACACATACATGCTGTGGAATAAACCTCTTGCACATTGTAAAGATTTGTCCCTCAGGGGCTGGAGAGATGGCTCAGGGGTTAAGAGCACTGACTGCTTTTCCAGAGGTCCTGAGTTCAATTCCCAGCAACCACATGGTGGCCCACAACCATCAGAAATGATGCCTCTTTTGGCCTAAGGGACACATGCAGGCAGAACACTGTATATGTATAAATAAATAAGAAAAAAAAAGATTTGTCACTCAAATCGGTTTAATAAAATGCTGATTGGCCAGTAGCCAGGCAGAAAGTATAGTCAGGGCAACCAAACTAAGAATGCTGGGAAGGAAAAGGGTGGAATCAGGAGTCATAGCCAGACACACAGGGAGCAGGAGATGAATATACTAATAAATGTACCACCACGTGGCAGAGCCTAAATAGAATTATGGGTTAATTTAAGTCTAGGAGTTAGCTAGTAACAGGCCTGAGCTATTGGCCGAGCATTTATAATTCATATAAGCCTCCATGTGGTCATTTGTGAAGTGGCTGCCAGGTATTTGGGAGTTGCTGGTGGGACAGAAACTTCCGTTTACACACACATACACATAAAAATCTCTAAAACTAAATTGAAACAAAAGAAAGAGTAACTGAAGAGCTGAACGAAAAGAGTTTACACACTCTCGCTTTTCATATAGCATAGTGCCGGGGTTAGCAACACGCAGTTGCTGTCCCTCTCCAAGGGAGAGTTTGGTGTGTAGCTAGAGGTAGTCAGTGGGCTTGGGGGAGGATGACAGGGGACCTATCCTGTTTGCCTTCTCCTCCACCCGATGGCCTTGATGGAGCCAGAGTCTGAGGAGGGAATAGTGGCTGAGTCAGAGGAAGCCAAGTGGAAAGGGCAGAGGGAAGTGACCGGGGCTGCCAAGTAAGAGTCACAGGTGCCCTTTGATGAGGAAGGCTCGTTTGTTTGGGCATCATGGGGCCCCGTTAGAGGGACCACATCCACATGGTAAAGAGATAAAGCACAACATGCCCCACAGAGTCAAAAGTATTTGTTAAAGCAGTGTCCCAGGCTGGCTTCAAACTTACTGAGGAGCCAAGGATAAGCTTCAACTTGGAGTCTCCTCCCTATGCTATTCCAAGTGCTGGTCGTACAGGCATGTAGGTAGCACCATGGCAGTGCTGGGGATGGAACCAGGCCTTTGTGTGTGCTAGACAAGCACTCTGGGTGAGCCGTGTCCCCAGTCCCTTGTGTGTGTGTGTGTGTGTGTGTGTGGTAAATGTGTGTGTGTCACATACACATACACACATGTTCCTAACTAGGTACAGGACAAAGGTCAATGTTAAGAGTCTCCCTTTGGGGTTGGAGAGATGGCTCAGTGGTTAAGAACACTGACTACTCTTCTGGAGGATCTGGGTTCAGTTCCCAGCACCCATATAGTAGCTCACAACTGTCTATAACTCCAAGATCTGACGCTCTCACACAGACACACATGCAGGCAAAACACCAATGCACATAAAATAAAAATAACCTTTTTAAAGAACAGTCTTCTTTCATCATTCTCCACTTTAGTTTTTGTTTGTTTGTTTTTTGAGACAGGGTTTCTCTGTGTAGTCCTGGCTGTCCTGGAACTCTCTCTGTAGCCAGGCTGGCCTCAAACTCAGAGATCCTCCTGCCTTTGTCTCCCAAGTGCTGGGACTAAAGACACTTGCCACCATGCCTGGCTTCCACCTTGTGTTTTGAGACAGGGTTTTACCCACGCAGCTAGACTAGGCACTGGTGGGTGCCAGGAATCCTTCTGGCGTTCCCCAGTCCTATACATGGGCCATTGGCACTTTGCAGACTGAGCCATTATCCCAGGCCTTATTGTTATTATTTAAAGATTTATTTATTTTTATGGGTTTTGTCTACATGCATCTCTGTGCACCATGTTGGGACAGTGTCTGGGAGGGGCCAGATCAGTATGAACCACCTGGAAGAGCAGCAAGTCCTTTTAACTGAGGAGCAGCCATCTCTCCAGCCTAAGAGAAGGCAGCATTTGACGCTGGGTATAAGAGGAGAAACAGCCGGCTACAGAGCAAGACCCAGGACAGGCACCAAAACTATATGGAGAAACCCTGTCTTGAAAAACAAAAACAAGAACAAGAGAAACAGAAAGAAGTGATCAAATGGTTGGGGTTTGTAGCCCTCTATTTCCTGTTTGTTTGTTTATTGGAACAAGATCTCGAAGTAGCCCTAGGTGACCTGGAACTTGCTATGTAGAACAGGCTGGGGGCTGGCCTCCAGTTCATGGGGACCCGCCTGCCTCTGCCTCCTGAGTGAGTACTGGGATTAAAGGTGCGCACCGCCACTCTGGCTCCTCTGTTTTCTTTTTTAATTTATTTTTATTTTGTGCTCATTGGTGTTTTGCCTGCATGTATGTCTGTGTGAGGGTGTCAACAGCCCTGGAACTGGAGTTACAGGCAGATGTGAGCTGCCATGCGGGTGCTGAGAATTGAACCTGGTCCTCTGGAAGAGCAGTCAGTGCTCTCAATCGCTGAGCCATCTCTCCAGCCCCTCTTTCTGTTTTCTTTAGGTAATTGTCTTTCTTCCAGATTACTATAGCATGACTCGAGTGGGTGGGCCGGTTTTACTGAAAGTCGGCATCCCACAAGAGAGTGGAACATCTCCCTGGGAGTGGTTGGCCCGCACTCTGGAGCATGGATCTTGCTGGTGAACACAGATCGGCCCCAGACAGAGGTCTCTCCCGCTAGCCCGTTGGCTCCTGCTCCAGCTTGGGCCTCCTCAGCAACTTACCCCCAAGCTGACCGCCTTCCAGCCGAAATTGCTCGGCAGAGGCCGGGAAGCGCTGTAGAGTCTCTGCTCTCAATCCTCGCTCCTTCTAGCAGGACACTTGGCCGCCAACGCCTTGATGCGAGCTTTTCTGGAAGGGAGGGAGGGAAGCTGCTCCAGGGCGTAGAGTAGCAGCAGCGCCGCTGCGAACCTGGCAGAGCGGAGCAAGAGCAAGGCAGGGCAGCAGCAGCTCGAAGTGCTGCGGCTCGGGGCGCCCCTTGGGCCGGACCCGAGCTGTGTGGCACCGCGATCTACGTGCTGCCACGGGGGCGTCGCTGGCCGCGGGTGAAGTCAGGGAAAGACGAGCGGGGAAACACCCCGCAAGGAGGTGGTGGTTCAGAGATCAGCGCGGCGCTCGACTAGAGGTCAGGGCTCCGGGCAGTGATGGAAAATGAGACCCCCAAAGTGTCAGCGTGGTCCCAGAGGGAGAGCGACACATACCTCCTGGGTAGGGAGTTCAGGGAAGCCCTTTCCGAAGAAGCTGTCCCTCCAATCAACCCGTGGGCACAGGTGGCGGGAATCCGGCGTCCAGCGGAGGAGCCCCGGCCTTGGGGGCGGGCCCAGGGCCGCTCGAATCCCGCTGGCAGGTGCGGGGGGCGGTGCCCAGCCCTGCCCCCGGGGGACGTTCTTGGAGGCCAGAGGCGGGTCAAAGAAGAGTGCTGGCGACGCCTTAGAACCTCGGGCGGCGGCTGCAGCTACAGGTACTGCGCAGGTCACCGCGTCCTACCCATCTGGGCATCTCAATCCCGGCCCCGAGAACCGAAATTTTCAAAGTGCGCCTAACTCGGAACATCCAGGCCTCCGCGCCCGAGAGCGGAGTCCTGGGGTCACCTGAATCTTAGGGCTACGTGCTCCGGCAGCCGCAGAGCCAGGGCACCGAGGGCTGCCGGGGAGGCAGTGAGGTCCTGGAAACCTCTGGAGCGGAGGACTTGAAGACCTCGGAGCCAGAGAGCCAGGTCCCGCAGGTACCAGTTGAGCAGGACACAGAAAGCCTGGACGGTCCCTAGCTGGGCCGCCTGGCACTCGGATAACGGAGGTACTGGGGCAGTGTCCCTCTCTCGACTCTCTCACCTCCCGGGGTGTTTTCCACCGAGGCCCGCGGCATCTCACCGGGCGCCTGCGGAACTGCTGATGGAGACGCCCATCCAGCGCGAAATCCGCCGCAGCTGCGAGCGCGAGGAGAGCCTGCGCCGGAGCCGGGGTCTGAGTCCCGGCCGTGCCGGCGAGGAACTCATCGAGTTGCGCGTGAGGCCGGTGCTCAGCCGGCCCGGCCCCGGCCCCCAACTGCCGCGCGCCCTGGAGCGCGCTCGGGCC